CTGATTAAAGATTTAACAGCATCTTAGATTTGTTTAGTACACCCTCATCAATGGTGTGAACCTTCTGATCTTTTACTTATAAATTCTGTGTCTGATACTACCTCTCTCACTAATACCTGAAGAAGGAGTAAGACTCTGGAAGCTGAGATAACAAGTTGTAGAGCTGGATGAACACAGCAGGCCAAGCAGCATCAGAGGAGCAGGAAGGCTGGCGTTTCGGGTCTGAACCCTTGGGTCTAGACCCAAGACGTCAGTTTTCCTGCTGCACTGATGCTGCGTGGCCTGCTGTGTTCATCCAGCTCTACACCTTGTTATCTCAGATTCTCCAGCATCGGCAGTTCCTACAGACTCTGGAAGCTTCTGTTTTCAAATAAACCTGTTGGATGATAACCTGGTGTTGTGTGATTTCTCACCTCATCCACCCCAGTCCAACTCCAGCATCTCCACGTCATCCATATCAACTGGCATCAGACTGCTGACTGGAGAAGATGAAAACGCCATAATTTTTATTTATTACAAGACGGCATTGGAACTTAGTATTGTTTCTCTCTATGGTTTTACACATTTTATTTCCAAAATGCCATTTTTAGGCCAAGAGCTCATCTAAGCAGTAGTTTCTTTCCCTGATGCTCAATAGGAACGCTATTGATTGCTCAAAATAATTGCAATGTCAAGTGCTTCAAAGTCATCCAGTGAATGTTATCCTGCCCATTTGTTTTGTTAAAAAATTCTTCTTGAAAATAGTTGAAGTGAATGGTTTGGTGGTGTTCTAGTCATCTGAGGTCATGGCAGTTAGGAATAATGGGTAGTTCCATTTAATAAAAAGGGCCTGTGAAGTTACATCTCTGTAGTTGGCTGCCATACTATTGTCTCCCTGCATTGCTTTATATATCGGGTATTAAAAAGATGATGCATTTTTATAAAAGTCTTAAGGAAATTCAAGCAGATTTTTAGCATTATTGAAATATAGATTAGCCAATGATTATTTGATGATTATTTTTGTCTGCAACAATGACTAAGTTTTGTCTGAAATGGATTTCATATTAAACTGAAACCTGATATGCCACTGCAGTGACTAAAAATGATCTAACGGTAGTATTCAAGGAAGAGTAGTTTTCCTAAGCGTACTGATCAAGATTCCTCTCTCAAACTGCAGCAGTAAAATAAGACTGGTTAATTAATTGATTGCTATTTCTAATATCCACGATTACACTTCAAAAATAATCTACTACTTAGCAATCTATTACCTATATATCTTTGGGCCATTCGCAGATGTGAAGACACAAAATAAATGCAAGTTCTTATTTAATTTTGGTGCATACTTTGAGTCTGGATTCTATCTCTGACCATTGGGCATCTGTGAACAGATACTGACCTTTCTCCCTCCAGAAAGCCCGGCTGTAGTAAACCATACACTTGATGATGGATCCCATTGGCACATGCTGGATCAACTGGTTTCGCAATGGAGGCAGTGGAGGACTGTAGTGAATTTGCTGAATGAGGGCTGGTGGGATAGCACTGATGACATAATCAGCCTAGAAATAACACAAGAGAAATTAATTGGAACATTTTTAACAACCAACAGAAAAGACTGGAGAATGCTTGAGAATAATTGACAAATTATTGTAGAAGGGGAAAAGATCTTCAAATGATGGATAAGGAAGAAGTAAAGTATTGTAGGGTTGAGGAGATTGAGAGACTAAGCAATAGATAACGGAGCTTTGTTGACTAACTAGATTTTATGGAAGCTTAAGGAATGAGAGGTCAGGCAAGAAAATGTTAAACTAGACAAATTTGGAAGGGACAAAAGCAGGAGAAAGGTTTTCAGTAACAGAACGTGTTAGGTAGGTGGAATGGGCAATGTTGTGCAGGCAGAATGAAGCAGTATTCGTGATGGAAAATATGGGATGTGAAGCTTGACAATGACAAAGCTTGAGACCACAGAAATCTGGTTCAACTTGAGAACGACCAGGAAAGGGTATGGAATCATTGGGAAGAGAGCAGAGCTTGTGATGAATGCTGAAGGCTATAACTTTGGTCTTGTATGTGTTGTAATTACTATACAATTCTAGAAGAGCAGAATTTGCAAGTGTTAGACTCTTTCTATTCCATGATTCAGTTGCTTTCAAGCCTTTCCTTAGTTTCATTGTCTCCCTTGAAGAAAAGCTCTCATGGTCAGGAACATTAGAACATTGAAAACATCATTTTTGCTTCCTCATCCTTTTGTTTAATAATGCTGATTATTTTACACAACATTTTTTTAAATTAAGATAATTGAGTAGCTTCATAGCTGATGCACTACGCTGCCACCTCAAGAATCTGAGCTGGCAATAAACTGTTGGAACATTTTGATGTCTGATTACTGTGAAATGAATTGTTGGGATGATCTCATTTTATTACTAAATGAGTCTAAGCACAAAGCACAAAACTGTTTTTCATTTGCTACCAAAGCCATCAAACCTAAGAAAGGTCACAAAGGAGCTTATAAGTAAACAAATACTTTACTGAAGTAAGAGTAATTCTGATAGTTGGTAATAAAATCAATGAAGTGTGCAATATTGGCTCCCCCAAGTTGAGAAAGAGTTTCACTTATGTTGTTGGGTGTATCCTCAACACAACTCATCACGGTATAAAATGATGGCAAGTTGCTGCCTTTACAGTCTTTCGTGGTTGAATAAAGCCTGCTTCATCTAGTGTAGTAGAGGAAAGTCCAATGAGAAGCGGTCTTAGACAAGATTTAGTTTATTGTATAATAGCATCATTTGTATGAAAGACATTGTTACTAAGAGTAAAGGGAAGACATTGATGTTAGATCTTGGTCCTTCAAGATCTTAAGTTGCTTCCCCCATCTACCGATTGCATATGACATCATCTTATTGGATGGTGCATAGCACATACCTCAGTATTAACCTTTTCAGCCCTTTAATTTCCTATCCAAAATCTCCCCCCAAGCATTTTTCCCATAATTAGCATTATAAATAGATGGATATCATGGTACTTATCCGTATTCCATCTCCCCCTGGCCTAATTCACAAATTCAGACAGTCTGGGGTTACATTATTTTCCCAGATTGCATTCTCTTTGGACTTGGAAACTTGGTATGGCTCTGGGTTGAAGACTGATGATTTTATTTCTGTTGTTGACAGTGTGAAGTCTGTAAATCCCTTTAAATTGGGGAATCTTTAATTGCTTAGATTTCCTTCATGGTGGATATATTTTCTGCTGAAGTGGACAATTGCTCCATTGCAGAATCTGTAGGGCTTTAATCTCATTAATATCCTTCATGGAGGAGAACCACCCCGTTGATCAGGCACTTTTTGTTTTGCAGCATCCAGCATCTCTGAACCAGGTGACTTCTCTCTGATTGTGTGCTGAATTTGTGGACATTGGTCATCCCACATCAGTGGTGGCTTTCATCAAGTTGTATGCATCTCATCTTTAATCCGTGTGAGCAGATTTGTATTCTCAGTCTGCTGGAAAATCTGTGTTGACTATGTTGAATGATTTTCCAGCATGTATTCTGTACATTGTTCACTGTCTCAATCTGAGCTTGTTTATGTGGGCTCACCCAATAAGGATGCTGTTTTCTTGTACTGACTCTCCCAAATTGACATCATGACAAACTAACATGATGCATCCAGGTGTATCTCTACAAATAACTTTCTGCTTCCTAAGTAGTCTTACATGATCTGCTCATTGTCCTTCCTCTAAATATGAAAACTCAGTGTCTAACTGTCCCAGTTTTCTATATTGGGTAATCGAATTGTACGACGTTTGCTTTGAAAATTGTTTATCTTTCCTTTCACATCACTCTTATCATCTCTGTCAACTTCCATTACTCTTCCCACTTGACACAGTAGCTCCACTTTATCCTCTTTCTTTCAACTTTTCACACACAGAGGGTGGTGCATGTATGAAATGAGCTGTTAAAGGACGTGGTGAAGGCTGGTACAATCATATCATTTAATGGTATCTGGATCGGTACCTGAATAGGAAGGGTTTAGAGGGATATGGGCCAAATGCTGGCAAATGGGACTAGATTAATTTAGGATATCTGGTTGGCATGGACAAGTTGCTGTACAACCCTAAGACTCTATGACTCAATGATAATGTTACAACATTTTATGCTACATAACTGTTTGCCTTCCTACAATCAGGAGCATCTATCAGATAAGTCACCTTACTAACCTTCCAAACTACTTTTAGTACTTTTAATTTTATTTTCAGTGGTTCACCTTGCAAAGGCAACATTACCAACACTTCATCTTCTGCTTTAAATGATCTAGTTGCTGAATACTTACTGGACCTTTTCTCATTAGGGCTTATGAAACCTTCAAATGCTCTTGTGCTAACCTACAAGCTCCTGAAGGCTTTCCAGAAATGTGGGCCATGTAAAAGAATGTTGAGGATTCATCCTGTTGTCTCAAGTCCTTTCTCTGATCAATTTTAATGGACCCCTAATCTCATGGCCATAACTTAATTCAAATGGACTAAACCCATTAGATTGACTTAGGTAATTTCTGATTGCAAATAATAAGGAATCTAATCTTTTGTCCCTAATCTGTAGATATTTAAGACAAATTTGTACCTAATGCACTTAGATATACATATATCAATAGAGGTAGATTGCCATATCCGTTCTAAGTCTGGCACTTCAGTGTTTTATATCTAAATTGTTGATAATGTCTTGGAAAGCCTTAACAAAGTTAGAAACTTGATCAGATTGTATCTCAATTAATCATTCATAACAAATATAAACAACTAAGTTTACTTTTCCACAACTATCTTAGCTGTAATGGTCCTCAAAGAAATAGCTTCTGAAAATCGGGTTGTCATACCCATAATGGTAAGGACATACTGATGTCCGTATAGGTCCTACACAATCAAATTACATGTGACTAAACGGTTCTTTAAAATCATGTATGAGTATGAAAGATGCCGGTTTAATTACATGTTAAGATGTCCCTACCGCCTGACCTGTATGACACATCTTACCAAACTGCCCTATATCTTTTTGAATCTTGGCCGTGTAAATTACTGGAACCAGGATATACACACCATCTCTCCTCTGTACCAACACTTTGGCTTTCATTGAACTCCTTGGAAGGAAAACTAAATACTTCCCTAGCAAAACAGTTTGAGTAGTCCCAGTATTCCTTCATAACTTTATGGGTTTGGCTGCATCATTTCAAGAAAAAAGGATTATCTTCCCTTTAGACAAAAACCTCTTGTATCTCTCACCCATCCTGTGTATCTGGTTCACTCTCTGCAGTGCTTTTCTCTGGTTATTTATTTGTATTTATAGCTACAATTTGATCATTGGCATTTTTATCTTGAGTTCCCTTTTTGGACTCATTCTCGGCAACTCAAATAAGCCCCAGGTTTCCCTTGCAACCTCCAGCATGCTGAACAAGTTTGTCACGTTTTGTAATAAGGACTAAACTTCAGCCTTTGATTTTCACTTCCACCCTCAGTACTTTACTTTCTGATGTGAGGAAGAGATGCTGGGACAATCCCAGTGATCCATTCTTCACTTTGGCTATGTGCCTTCCTTTTACCCACGATGACATTATGAGCATGTCTCTTAAAGGTATACTGCATACTAGCTGCGAGACATAACACAACAGTAACAAGATCTTACAAAGTAGTGCCATGAATAACCAATTAACATTATTTGTCAGTATGGTTTGAGGGAAACTCCTGCTCGTTGACTACAGCTCCACCTTCAACACCAGTGTCCCCTTCAGACTGATCTCAAAATTCCGTGAGCTTGGTCTCGGCTCTACCCTCTGCAAATGGATCCTCAGTTTTCTGACCCACACACCGCAATCAGTGAAGACAGATTACTGCACCTCCTCCACAATAACACTCAATGCTGGAGACTCCCCAAGGATGTGTCCTCAGCCCCCTACTGTACTCTCTGTGGACCCACGACTGTGTTGCCAAATTCCAAATGAACACCATCTACAAATTCACTGACGACTCCACTGTAGTGAGATGGATGTCTAACGACGATGAGTCAAACTACAGAAGGGAGATAGAGGGCTTGGTGACATGGTGCAATGAAAACAATCTGACTCTCAACGTCGGCACAACTAAAGAACTGATCATTCACTTCAGAAAGAAAGGAGGAGAACATGCCCCCATCTGCATTAACAGAACTGAGGTTGAAAGGATGAAGACCATCAAGTTCCTCAGAGTGACAATAACCGACAACCTGTCCTGGACTTCCCATGTAGATGTGACAGTCAAGAAGGCACAACAACAGCTCTTCTTCCTCAGGCAGCTCAGGAAATTTGGAATGTCCATAAGGTCCCTCACCAACTTCTACAGATGCACCATTGAAAGCGTACTGTCTGGGTGCATAACGGCCTGGTATGGTAACTGCTCTGCCCAGGACCATAAGAAACTACAGAAGGTGGTGTGCACAGCCCTGACTATCACGGAAGCCAACCTTCCATCCATGGACTTCATTTACACTGCTGCATAAAGGCGGCCAACATCATCAAAGACTCATCACACACCCCAGTAATGATCTCCTACAATGTCTTCTGTCACGCAGAAGATACAGAAGCCTGAACACACGCATGATTCAGGAACAGCTTCTTTCCGGCCATTATCAGACTGATAAATGGACTCTCTAGCCTCAAGTAACTGATCTTACTAATGTTGATCTTGCCTAGCACATGCCCAGTGCAATGTATGCATCTGTCTGTCTTTTTGTTCTGTACATCCTTTGCTTCCTACGATCTGCCTGTATCACTCGTAAACAAAGCTTTTCACTGTATTTCAGTACACGTGACAATAAATAAATAAATAAATAGACCAATCAAACAATCAATATTTGGTCAAGAAACTGGTAAGGCTCCCTGTTCTTTTCTGGGTTCTGCCAAGAGACTGGCACATCTTCCTTCACCAGTGGAAGCAGTAATGCTTTAAGGGCTCAAGGTTCTTGCAAAGATTATTCACTCGGGTTGAGGATGATGTTGTTGGTTTACTCGCCCAGCCAGCTGGTTATCGTACAGACGTTTCATCACCATGCTAACATTATCAGTGCGGCCTCCGATGAAGAGATGTCGTTCGACTCCACTTGGTATTTATATGGTCCGGTCTGTTAAGTTGGGTTGTGTCATTTCTGGTTCTGTTCTGCATGTGTTTGTAAATGGGGTCTAACTCCAAATGTTTGTTGATTGCATTATGGGTTGAAAACCAGGCCCCTAGGAATTCCCATGTGTGTCTGTGGTTGGCTTGAGCTAAGATGGTCACATTGTCCGAGTTAAATTGATGACCTTCATTGTCCAGTGCACTGAGATGAGGGAAAGTTCGTCGTGTTGTTTTTGCTGCCAGCTGGTGTTTGTGTATCCTGATGGCAAGTTTCCTTCTGATCTGGCCGATGTAATATTTGTTGCAGTCATTGCAAGATATTTTGTAATTTATGTTGGTCCTGCATGTCATGGGTATGGGGTCTTTGGTCCTTGTGAGTGTTTGTCGTAGTGAGGCCGGGGCTTGTGTGCTACCATCATTCCTAGTGGTTGCAGGAGTCTCGTTGTCAGTTATGATATGTTCTTGTGTGTAGTTCTGCCTGGTAGGGTGACAATGGGTCTGAAGTGGATGTCTAGTTTGTGTTCTTTGGGTAGTCCATAGAAGCGGGGGGTGTTCGAGTCTTCTTGATTCATTTTCATGCAGTCCGTCTTGGTTATTTGTCTTGCATCTTGCAGTCTCCTCAGCATTTGGATGATCCTGTTTGCTAGCTGCAGTGTTGGTCCTATCTCCACCTGTTGGTAAATATGTGTATCTGCATGCAGTGCCTGCACTTTCTCAATGTACTCCGGTTTGTTCTTAATGATGGCCATGTGCCCTTTGTCTGCTGATAGGATTATGATGTTCCTCAGCCTTTCGAGTGCTTCTTTTCCCCGATATGTTAAGGGTGTCCCTTTCATTCCTCTGGTTCAGTGTAGGGATTATAATTTGTTTGATGGTTTGTCGGATCCCTACACTGAACCGGAGGAATGAATGAGACACCCTCGACACATCGGAGAAAAAAAGCACTTGAAGGATGCAAGAAAGACAGGAACATCATGATCCTACCAGCAGACAAAGGGCATATGACCGTCATTATGAACAAACCGGACTAGATTGAGAAAGCACAGGCACTGCTTGCAGATACACATATTTACCAACAGGTGGAGATAGAACCAACACTGCAGCGAGCAAACAGGATCACCCAAATGCTGAGGAGACTGCAAGATGCAGGACAAATAGGCAAGACAGACTAAATAAACTTGAATCCAGAAGGCTCGAACACCCCCCGCTTCTACGGACTATCCAAAGTACACAAACCAGACATCCTCTCAGACCCATTGCCTCCCTACCGGGCAAAACTACACACAAACTAGCCATGGACCTACAACAGAGACTGAAACACCTGGTCGATGGATCACCCTACTCCATCCACTCAACCCAGGAATTCCTTATAAACCTCAAGAACATTAAAATCAACAACGACGAGATTATGGTATCCTTTGATGTCACAGAACAACTCATGTCCATTGACATACCACTAGCCAAAGAAACACTTGCCACATTACCGAATGCAGCAGAAACACCAACTCCAAACAGTTCGATCAGCAAGGGCAACATAGTCGGACTAATGGACCTATGCCTCATCACACATTTCATCTTTAATTGCCAAATATACAACAAATCAATGGCACACCTATGGGGTCACCCATCTCAGGACTTATTGCAGAGGCAGTCATGCAAAGACTGGAACGCACTACCCTCCCCGCAATACAGCCAAAAGTGTGGATCCACTACGTGGACGACACTTTTGTCATAATTAAACACACCAAGATAGAAGAGACACATCACCTCGTCAACAATGTTTTCACTGGGATCAAATTTGAGAGAGAAGGGAAGACAACAATCAACTTCCGTTTCTAGATATCAGGGTAGTACGAATGACCAATGGGAAGCTCCAAACCACAGTATATAGGAAGGCAACCCAAACTGACCAAATCCTCAATTTCCACAGCAATCACCCCAATGTCCACAAGCAAAGCTGTGTTAGGACACTATTCAAATGGAATGCAACCAACTGCAACATGCCAGAACTGCACAGGAAGGAGGAAGAGCACGTATACAAGGTCTTTGCTAATAATAGATATCCCAACAACTTCATCTGCAGGTGCCTACTAGACAGACAATGCCAAGAGGACACAGTACATCCCACTACACTGGCCACACTACCCTATATCAAGAACATATCAGAACTGACAACGAGACTCCTGCAACCACTAGGAATCATGGTAGCACACAAGCTGACAGCCCACTACGACAAACACTCACAAAGACCAAAGACCCCATACCCATGACATGCAGGACCAACATAGTTTACAAAATACCTTGCAATGGCTGCAACAAACATTACATCAGCCAGACCAGAAGGAAACTAGCCATCAAGATACATGAACACCAGCCAGCAGCAAAGCAACACAACGAACTTTCCCTCATCTCAGTGCACTGGCACTCGGACCATGAAGGTCTTCAATTTAACTCGGACAACGTGACCATCTTAGCTCAAGCCAACCATAGACACGCACAGGAATTCCTAGAGGCCTGGTTTTCAACCCACAATGCAATCAACAAACGTTTGGAATTAGATCCCACTTACAAACGCATGCAGAACAGAACCGGAAATGACACAACCCAACTTAACAGACCGGATCATATAAATACCAAGTGGAGTCGAACGACATCGCTTCATCGGAGGCCGCACTGATAATGTTACTTAGCGTGGTGATGAAACGTCTGTACGATAACCAGCCGGCTGGGCGAGTAAACCAACAATCTCGTTTAAGGGCTTAGTGGAAAGCTGAGATGTACTAAAAGAATATTAATAGACAAATGAAATAGTAAGAACTGCTGATTCTGGAGTCAGAGATAACAGTCTGGAGCTGGATGAACACAGCAGGTCAGGCAGCATCAGAGGAACAGAAAAGCTGACGTTGTGGGTCGGGACCCTTCTTCAGAAATGGGCTACACTGTGTTAATAGACAAATTTTGACTTTGGTAAAACAACTAAAGCAAGCAATTTGAATGTAGCAATAGTTTTTTTTGCAACATGAGCAAAGGATTTGGGGTTTGACGGTCAGACTTGACTTTATAGAGTGTAGAACTTACAGGTAGTCATATGTTCACACACCTCATATTCCTCTCCATGTAATGTCACCACACGGATAGTTCCCTTAGTTTGTTCCACTCTCACCACTGGCCTGTTTAGCTTCACACAATCCTTTATTCGCTCAGCTAAGCGCTCGCTGATTTGTCCTGAACCACCAATAAATTTCCTTTCCTGAAGAAATGAAAGATTGACCTCAAGATGCTTCACCTTCAAAGTAAATTCAAAGTTAAAGAAGCAGCACAAAATATAAAAAACAGGTTAAGACTTTGCAAGACCCAGCTGGTTTGTGGAGATTCTGACTGTTATCTATTTTATGCTACTGCACACTAACAAGATCTACACCCCTTTAAGAGAGCGATCGAACATTCAACATCTCAACTACTTGAAAACTATTTCCTGACCTTCTTGACAAAGGGAGCAAGAATTTCAATTTAGGTGGCTCTTTTCATGCAAACATTCTTTACTCTCTAACTTCATGAAGAATCAATAGTATAGAAACTACTCTTGGAGATACTGGTAATCAAACAGTTAATGTGTTCATACAATATTCCTCTGACTGCTATTTAAGATAGATGTGAATTCATTTACCTTAAACCACAGAGGTTTGTTTTAATTCTTTGTATGATTGTATCAATAGCAATTACCAGACTAATGTTTCACACTGATTTAAATTAATAATATAGAGTTCTTTCACATACCAGAAGGCAAGTGTAATAATGGGGACGCGTTGGAAAAGGTGCAGAGGAGATTTACCAGGATGTTGCCTGGAATGGAGGGAAGGTCTTACGAGGAAAGGTTGAGAGAGCTAGGGCTTTTCTCTTTAGAACGACGAAGGATGAGAGGTGACTTGACAGACGTGTACAAAATGATCAGAGGTATAGATAGAGTGGATAGCCAGAAACTTTTTCCTGGGGTGGAGGTAGCTATTATGAGGGGTCATAGTTTTAAAGTGAGTGGAGGTGTATATAGGGGAGACGTCAGAGGTAGGTTTCTTTACTCAGAGTGGTAGGGGTGTGGAATGCATTGCTGGAGAGGGTAGTGGAGTCGGCCTCATTAAGAGCATTTAAGCGGCTATTAGATAGGCATATGGATGATAGTATAAGGTAGGGGTGGAGGTTAGATAGACCTTAGGTTTAGGGTAAAAGTTCGGCACAACATCGTGGGCCGAAGGGCCTGTACTGTGCTGTACAGGTCTATCTTCTATGTTCTATGTTCTAAAGTGAACCCATTTTGCAATGATGCTGAAAGAGGACAATAAATTAGGTGTGAAGACTTAACCTCTGAAACAAAATGCAGTTGTAAAGTGAATCCATTTTTATTTAACCTTGGAAGGAAAATTATAGCTTTAAGCTAAGTGTTTATCACATTTGAGTATCAAAAATGATGATTGGACACCTTGATTACCACCGCAGTATAAAATTACTAAATGTATCTGACCATCTTTAAAATCTTTTTAATTGTTTTAAATACAGCCTAAACTCTAAATGTTAAATATCAGGTTCTCTAACCTGGCCTCCATTGGTGGTAGAAAATATCCGCCTTGTCCCTCCGCACTGTCTCACGTACCACAGAAACCAAAGAGCAGAGACTTCATAAGGCTCTGAAGTTACATTCACGTTGACAAAGAGTGTTGCAAATTCTCTCGCCACCCTGCAGTTAAACATGTAGAATAAGGCTCCTGTTTATAAAATAAACCTTCACTGCACTTTACTATTAGCTTGATGCCATGTTAAACAGCACCAAAGGGTTGGTAGAAATAAAAAAGGGAATTAAAGAAAAGGCATTTCTTTTCTTATTTCCTTACTACAGTTTCACCCATTATTACAATTCCAAACTGAGAGTCCTGACATTTTATATATTTTTTAAAAATTCACTCATGGGATGATATGGGCATTGCTGGACCATCATTTATGACCCATTCCTAGTTGCCTTTGAAAAGATGTGGTAAGCTGCCTTCTTGAATTGCTGCAGTCCATGTGCTGTAAGTAGACCTATGTCTCAAGTTTCAATTCTAATTCAGCTTACTTTTTAAAGGAACGTGGATTGGTGTCTTTTATCCTTCATGAGACTAATGGGGATACCTAATCTGGGAATAATTTTTAAAAATAATGTTGAAGAAGTAACACTAGATTGGTTCCTGCGTGAAAAGGTGAGCTGGAGAGGTAAGGACACCAGGACAGGTAGCAGCACCACCTAGAGGAACAATTAAGGAAATGATTCCGAGACAAACAGAGACTGAGCTCGATGCATTACAGATGGTTAGAATTGGTTCTTGCTTTACTACAAATGAACTAACTGCTTGGTGAGTCTCAAGGTGATAGTAATCAGTGCTAGCATGCCTACAGTTAAGTTTTTGAATTAGGAGCAGCTTTGGTTTAGGGTTTATGAGCTGGACGCTGAACTGTAGACACAGTGACACATCGAGTAGGCAGAAAGTTATCCAGATTCTTTGTAGAAGAATTCTTTGTAGAAATCTCCTAATTTAGTCAGTGGTCAGGGACGGGAGGGTGTGACAATGAGTGCAGCAGTTAAGTGGACCAAGAGGGTAAGAGTGTCAGTCTCCAGAGTTATCAAATAGGTTTGAGATATTCTTAGCCTGTTTGGATGAGAGTACAGCCTACACAGTAGATGTGCAAACTAACCCTGGCGTTATGGCACAAGATGCTGCAGAGGTTAGGGAAGCATCAAGGAGTTTATTAGTAGAAGGGGATAGTATAGTGAGGGGAATACACAAATAATCAAGACTCGATGTTACAAAGATTAAAAACATGACAAAACTAAAGATGTTGTGTCTGAATGCACACAGAATTCCTAACAAAGTTAACAAATTGATAAATATACAACTGAGACAAACAAATATAATTTGATGTCATGGAGATGTGGCTACAGGATGATAAAGATTGGGTCTTGAATACTGAAAGGTATATGACATTCAAGAAGAAAGGGATACTATGTCTATGAAAAGGGGTAACACCGTTAATCATGAATAACATTTAAACAATACTTAGGGTTAACCTTAGTTCAGAATATCAAGATGTAGGATTGGATCAGCTGGAGATGAGGAATAATAGGGGAAAGAAGCTACAATTGGGAGTGGTCTACAGGCTCCTTAACAGTAACCACAGTGCAGGAGAATGTACGCATTAAGAAAAATTGGGTGATTGTGATAAAGGGACAGTAAAACGAACGGGCACCTTTAATCTACATATAAGCTAGAAAAGTCAAGATATTGTCACTAACTGTAGGCAGCCTAGGCATCAGGAGCTACTTACCTTGTCCAGCAAAGTTTATCAATTAACTCTTTCATGGTCATGTTGTCCAACTCCACTGCATGTTCAGCACTCCATGGTGCATCTGCAGGAATCTAACAATATTAAATTCATGATCATTCCAATATGCAGACAATATGGGGCTTATTTAGAACACCGTCTCTTCACTTCTGAGATTTGTTTAAAGATCCAACCCAGCAGAAAGATGAACAAAGATCTCCACTCTTTAAACAGTTACAAAATTCTTCTCCGGAATGTAAGTCATGCCTAAGGCAGAAACCAACTGGCTTCAGAACTATAGGCTTGTGTGAAGGCAAAAGTCAGAAGTTAACCTTTTGTCAGGCCAGGGATTTCTGGCAGGGTTGAGATTATGTTGGCACTGCTGTACATTCTGCTCAGTTTCAGACAGGTTAAGGAAGTTGCCTTCTCAATAGCAGCCACAGGCAACCAACAGAGCTAGGACAAGATTGTATAACCTTTATATACCTATTTCCCCTGAGAATGCATGCAAACACAATTTGGCAGGACCATTTCATCACAACAATTGTAATTGATTGGAAAGACACGGTTCAAACCAGGTTATAGCCACGTCTTGGGACCTGCAGCAGGCTTGGGAGAATTTTACTCACTTTGTACACAGGAAACTTCCATTATTCTTAGAAATTATTTAATTTCAACACAGTCACTGAGCCAGGATCGGATGACTGCATGAGAGGTTTCCAAATGGGAAATACAATTTAGTGGAACTATATGTTGAAGAGGAAGATTAGTAGGAGACTGTGATAGAAAATAGATAAATTAGATAGCACTTGGAAAGACCGTGATCATCCTAGGATCTATATATCAATCCATGCTTTTCAAAGTCTTTGAAATGTGGCTCAAGAGATTGGATTTCAATCACAGTACACTTCTCACTGTGCCACAGATCAGGACTACCACCATCAACCTGTATGCCAATATGCTCATTCCAGAAAACCTCAGCAAAATTTTTGATTTAACTTTCATCAGCTCAGCAAATTTGCTATGCATTCCTCCATAACACAAGGCAACAACATCTCCACCGCACACAGGGCATCTCAATCCACCTGGTTTGATAAAAGTACTGTTCAAACAAATGACTCTGGGCCATCAGATGTTTCTGATCACTCAGATCACATGAGGTTTTCAGAATTGGTGGCTGCAACGTTATGTCATTGTGTCTGCCAGATTGTACACCCCAGATTTATATCAATCAGAAAGATTTCAAGCAGCTACCAGGAGGGTCTTAGTGAAGTTGATGGTCTGCATAGCTTTTAGAAAGCATCTTCGCATCTCGTTAACTGCATGTCCACAAGAGAGCCAAGAATCACAGTGTCGCAGGCAGCAAAAAAGACATTGAACCTTTTCAACACAGAATACTTTGGGGGTCAGTTAGTTCAATTGGTTGGATGGCTGGTTTCATGACAGAGAGTTATACCAACAGGGTGGTTTCAATTCCTGCACCAGCTAAAGTCATCATGAAGATCCCTCCTTCTCAACCTCTTCCCTGCCCAAGGCAGCGTGATTCTCAGGTTAAGCCACCACCTGCTGTCTCTCTCTTACGAGAGAGTGGAACTGTGGTGACTTTACATCACTTACTTCTGGAAGGAAGCAAACTTGTTACCTTCTTTCCCATTTCATCCAAAGTTCTCCAGAGGTTGTTGTAATCCAAGTAAGCAATAGGGTTCCACATAGGAGGAAATGGCCCTTTAAATGGGTAAGACTTTCCCTGCAAAAGATGACAGTAAATGCAATAGAAACTGAATTCAAAGTGCTAGATCATTATAAGTAATCAGAGACACCTTGAGTGTGCACGCAGCTAATACTCAGACATCCACAGCACTGTACTGGATATGTGCATGACAGTGAAATACAGTAGTGTGCTCAGTTACATACCATTTTACTCAGTTATACGTTACTGTGTTGGAAAGGTAGTTGTTATTCAAGGAAATATCCAAATATCCAACCCTCATAAATAGCAACACTATGTGTCTTCATTAAGTAAGTGTAACTGTGCTGGAAATGTGCAGTTATGCATGAACACCCGTACGATGCAGAATTTATTCATTAATCAGAGATTCTCAACACAAGCACTGGATATATCATTGTTACTCAGGCCACATAATATTACATCAGGTATGCATCTTTTACAGAGGGAGGCAGAAACAACATTGAACAAGTACCTGTTTATCAGAGAATCTCACTACTGAACCAGATATCCATACATCACTCAGAGACACAGAACGTTTTTTGCAACCTGGTCAAATCAGCTTTAAACAGTTTCTGAGGAAGAGTCACCAGACTCGAAATGTTAACTCTTTTTTTTTCTTCACAGATGCTGCCAGACCTACTGAGCTTTTCCAGCAACTTTGTTTTTGTTCCTGATTTACAGCATCCGCAGTTCTTTCGGTTTTTGTTTAAACAGTTTCTGACCCATCTAACCACATGCTCATAAAATGGAGCTTGAGCTCTTCTAAAGGCATAAATTTATAACCTAACTAGTTAAACTACATCATATAATTACACAATATGATTGTCAAATAAAGACTTTGATATATTACAGCTAGTCTAAGTTATGGCAGAGCAAGTTGTGTGTTTAGACAGCAGAATGTGGGAGGTGGTCCTGAGCACCTATGTCCACAGGAGATGGCTTCACATTGAACCTCTCCTGTTCACAGTCATTAGCTGGAAGGCAAATTCGAAAGACTCCAACAGATAAGGGAGGGGGAGAAATTTCTGAAGAGTTTTTTTTCCAGTCACACAACAGAGGAAAACACAGGTTCAGGAAAGGGTCAGAGGTACAAGAGACAGAAATTTAGGAAAAATTGAGTAGCAGGTTCTTCAGATACTGGCCTGTCCAACAGATACAATGTAGTCACTACCTGTGAGGGCAAGGTGAAGGACTACAGGGAGCAAGCTACACTGCAGACCAGTGCACCATGGCTGAGAAGGCTGTCCAGGGCAGGGAACAGCAGGACTGAAATATGGTAGTAACAGGGAGAAGGTAGCAGGAGGAAAGACAGTTGTGTCAGTAGCCAAGGATGAGAATCCCAAAGGGCATGCTGCCTATTACTGCCATCCTGGGGTATGTTACGGTGACTGGAGAGGATCTTGGAAAGGGAAGAGGCAAATTTAGTTGCTATGGTATATTCTAGAAATAATGTCATGGGTAGGAACAGAGAGGAGGTCCTTCTGAAAGAGAAGTTAGATTTTATCTTAAAAGGCAGAACTTCAAGGATATTATTCCCTGGATTATTCCACAAATCACAAGGAATTTAACATTGGAGCAGACAGATCAGGAGAATTGGTAAATGTCTAAAGGGCTGGGGTGGGAGAGAGAAAGTTCTTTACAAAAAAAAAATTAGAACCAGCTCTGGGACAAGAAGAATTTGTATTAATGGCATGGAATCTGTACACTGTGAAAAGGAAAGTGACGAATGCTTTAAGCTAGCAAGACAGGATGAAGGGGAATCTACTGAAAAGTAGGTGCTGAAATGAAAATAAAACAGGAAAGATGAACATAGGAAAGATTTTCTTCTTAAATAAGGGAGGACAGCAATGGCAAAGATATGAATAGCTATAGGACAGCAGTATATTAATACAGTTAGACAGAACATGATAGAAATCCTATTACAATAAATTAAAGCAATATGCAGTGTTCATAATAAAAAAGGGGAGCTGGAGACAATCACATTGGGAGGAACGAGATATTGATCACTGAGACATGACTGCAGAAACATTAGAGCTGGAAATTAAACATTGTGAATTATAGCATATTTAGAAAAGATAGGAAGGTAAAAAATGGAGATGGAGCACCTATACTTAAGGATAACATAATGGCAGTCAAAAAAAACGGCATAACTTTTAGCAAGTCAAAATATAACCCATAAGCATACAAGTAAATTATAATAAAAGGTTAATCACGTTTATAGGTGTGGTAAACAGACAACCTATGGGACATTGAGGAGGAAGCATGCAGAAAATTTAAGGAATTTAATAACACACGAATAATAATCATGGAGGATTTCAACAATCTGATCTTAATTGGTGAGTATTAAAAGAGATAGGTAAAGGAGATGTGGGAATGGAGGTCCTACAAATGTGTATCGGAGCCTTTTTTAAACCCAATTTGTAAAATACCCAACAAGGAAAGATTCCCAATTGGATCTAGTCATAAGAAATGAACCAGAGCATGCAATGAGATGTAAAAGTGTGGGAGCATGTAAGCAATTGTGACTTTGGTATAATTGTTTGATGATCACAGTGATTTTAAAGATGAGCAAGATCAGTGCAATTGAGAACCAAAGTAAACAGGAATCCTTTAGGCCCCTGTTATGACATAGAGACAGATAGTCAAACTAAATCAGACTTTCTACCTCTGCTTTTGCAATACAGTTAAATTAAAACCTTCAAAGACCCTGAAAATTGCCAATAGTTCCTATCCAGACTTTTAAATAACCAATCCCAGGCTCTGCAAATAATCAATTCCAGACACCGATTATATTTTAAACAAAGGACTTAACAATTTATTAACAATACAATAACTCCAGCAGAGCAAAAATTAAACAACAAAGTAATCTACCTGGTCTGTGGTATAAACCCAAAAAACATATGTTTTCAGCCCCATCCATACAAAAGTCAGATAGGCAAACAAACACAATTAAGGGTTAACTAAAATAATAAAACTAGCTATATTGCTTATCTAATTTTCATGCTGTATTGTTCCACAAGCATAGATGAAGGTTTCTTGGTTGATTTTCTGAAGATGTCTATTAGGGTTACTTTTACAATTCACTCAGATAAAGGTAGTAATACTTATAACTCAGTTTTCTATTCTCTGAAATTCCATGAGCTGATAAGTGAGGTTAAGCAGGGAGTTTTTAAATCTTCACACTGTAGCATCAACAGCCAGATTCTTTCTCACTGTAAACACAGTCCAAACACCAATTCAAATTCTGACCACTCCCTAACAGACTGACCATCTCCTCCACAAGGCCTCAAGTTACCATTCAACATCTGCTGGAGCATAAGGTATTTTCAAGATTTGCCAGGATCAATTCTTATTTTCTGACCTCGTTAATAGCCAAGCTTTGCTGTCTGTTTAAACATAATGTTCTTCCCCAGTGACAAAGCGTCCCCAGAGCTTTTTGATCAGGTACCAACCTGCAATTAACTTCCAAGCTTGGCCTCATAAATAAACAAAAGCTTGTATGGTCACAAGCTGTTACCCACTGTCCAAAAGTCACCTTTAGCTCAAACCAAAACTGATAAATGAATATAATAAAAATAATGAAAAATTAGTGAGGGCTGTAACATCTCGGAAAACTTTGGGCCTCATCAAAGTAATTTGAGGAGGACTCTGGCCTAATTCCCAGGAGGAGCCAGGTGAAGTGGCAATGGTGGCTGAAGGCTGTATGGATCTGGAGTCTAATTAAATGGTCCCCAACAATGAGATAAATGTCAGAATGTTGTTTAAAGGTGAAGATAAGCTAGGAAAGGGAAAGTTTCAGGCTTCTTTGATGACAACAACTTAAATACCATCATTGAGTGCTTAATTCATCTATTTCTACGCCATTTCCAATTCTCTACTCCTTCCCTGGGAAACAGCAAATTCCCAACACATTAATCAGAGTGGGTACCTGGCAACTGCAACTCACTGAATACTTTCCCTGACTATCATGAAACTACTTCTTTGCAATAATTTCACCACATCTTCTGTGGCAACCATCCTTCTTGACCTTTCACCTGTGCAGCTCACATTGCTCTAGTGCACAGGTCTTCAGAGGACATTTACAGGCTGCCAGCCTCTGTGTCCTGCACTGCTTTTCTACACAGAGGAAGAGGCAGGCTATCTGTCACAGTGGGGTGCACCAATCAGTCAAAAGGGTAGAAATGTTGCTGTGTGGCACTGCACTGTATCAAGTCCACACCTACAGCATGTGCCAGCAGATTAAATGGTAAATACATGCATGTACTTCAACCAGATGGCCATGTGTGAAATGGAAAGGGGAGAAAACTTTAGTGGGGTGAAGAGGGGGGACTCCAGTCAGTCAGGGTTGCCACCACAATCAGTCCAGAACTTGGTCCTACTAGAGTCTGGGGGTCTGTGTCCTTGCAGTCCAAGGATTGGGCCTTGGGTAGTCCTGTGGATCACATGGAGATGTGGCATTGTGTCTCCGGTAAGTGTGTTAGAAGTACAGCAGGCAGGGACGAAGGGTATGGTGTGTACAAGCTGTTGAGTGGACATGATGTGTAAGAGTCATAGTTAATGAGACTTGGTGAGAGGCATGTGCAGTGGCAGAGGTAGAGGAAGTGGTAGCCTTGGGAGTGTGAGGTGGCATTTACCCAAACTGGGCATCGATTTTCTTCCTGCGCTATTTGGCATCCACTTCACCCAGGACACTGCACTGACCCAGGCTCCAATTTGTGTCCAAATTGATTCTGGAGATGCGGCAGTCTGCAGGAAAAAGAACTGCCCTCCTCTGCACCAGCCTGAGAGCGAGGCCTCCATGTCTCTGAGCTCGAAGCAGGAGATGAGCTTTCCTTTCTTCTGAGCCATGTCCTCATTGATAGCACAAGCTCTACAGTGTGAGGGCTAGTTCCTAACCTGCAACATCTGAACAGGAGTGTAGCGCAGCTTTAAATATGGCATCAGAGACAGGAACGCTGTGGGAGGGTGCGGTCCCGGCAGGGGCCAGCATTCCTGCCTCTTAGATGCATGATTCCCCA